AAAGAATATGGTTTACATGTAGCGCGTCGATTCAGCGTGGTATGCAAGACTCTCGCTCTCTCTCTTTGCATGTGTGAGAAACACAGCGTTATCAGTAAAGCGACGGTGAGTCATGCGCCTTCACACTAGTTTACAGTACGTCAAATACAGGTGCGCTGCGTGCTACATACTGAGCATCCATTGAGTACATGACATGATCCATTGAGCGCATCCAAATAGTACAGATCGCTTGACGGAGAGCAAAACTCAAGCCTCAGTCAGCGTGTTTATCGAGTGAACATCTGTGTTGAATGTAAAATCTAAGAATTTATTAGCCAATGGCTAATGTTAGACATTATTTAGTCGCCCAGAGTATGATTTAGTCACATATGCGAGTGATTTACTCGCAATGTAGAGGGTTGATATCAGAAGTTTAAACTCATATGGTTTAAAACGCATGATTTCAGCACGATAAACATGATAATCAGAATTGTTTTTTAGCAGGTACGAGTTGTAATGGCGCAGCTCTATTCTGGAAAAGGGGGCGGGGAGCAGCAGCTCATTTGCATTTAAAGAGACATGCACGAAAAACAGCGTGTTTCTGCTTCCACTTTCCACTCAAATTTTCAACATGATATAATAAATTATCTGTGGAGTAGAAACTTCACAGACACATTCTGGGTTCTGGGGAGACTTATATTACATATTGTAAAAAGGGGCATAATATGTCTCCTTAAAAACAAATCATTCCACATTCTGTGACTCTGTGCTTGGCCTGAAGAAAATGGTCCTTTTGTGCACAGCGTTTCTCAGTTTTGGTGGTAAACAGAGAATCTGGTACTGAAACATGCCGGCGTGGCTTGCAATGAAGTCTTGGCACAATCTGTGGAAATACATCGCATTAGTCTGTTCTCCATCAGCTCGTAATTCCTGTTCCACAGTTCAGTGATTCTTCCCGCATCAGCGGCTGCGGCTGAGTCTGGAAAACAAGCGCATCGTTGCAGTGGCCCTGCAAAACAAATCCTCTTCACTGACCCAGGCTTACAGATTTCAGATGTTTGCTGAATTATCGGTACACCGTGGAGCACACGACACTCACTTTGTCCACTAAAAGGATATAATCATGACTTCCTCAAAACACTACAACATTTGAGTCTCTTCCTTGACACGCAGTGTGCCACAGACTAGAAAATCAGAGCGAAAGAGAGCTTGAGGAATGCAATCATAATATCTTATTCTTTCCATCTCCATTTCTGCATGTTTTCACCTACCGCGGTTTGTCCTTGTTTTGATGCTCCATCTCTGTCCATCCTTTTGTCTCCAGATTAAACATCCAGCCGTCACCTGAGGAGAAAGAAAAAGGTCTGTAGTTTAGTTTTTTAACTATGCAGTCATTTAGAGTTGTTTTCGTGTGCGTCATACTCATGGGTCTGAGTCCACCGAACAGAAAGAGACGTATCAGACACGGCTGTTAGCGTGTGCCATGAGCGTCCCACAGGTGCTAGACCCAACCCAACTCTACAAACACCAGACGAGGCAGAGCTTCATGAAGACGACACACATAACACTCAAGAGCGGATTATATAGATGAGTGAGGAGCTATGTGGCGTCTCTTACATTTCTGACCATGTCCATGAATTTAAATCCAGAAAAAACTCGTCACTTGTTCTAGTTTCCTGTGCAGAAAGCAAACAAACACAACATGACAACACTTCACTGTAGCTCAGTATGGGCTTTTAGACCGGCAGATATGTTAGAAGATTGATACGTTTTTTTGTACGACTGCCAGAGAAATGATTTTAAGGGAGCCAGCAGTCTCTATAAATGCATATGAACAATAACTCACCTTTATTCTTCCACCGCACACGTAGCCTTTGCTGCCGATGCTAGCGCTAGCGTGAGCGGCTCGCGGGGGAGGAGCTCGTCCCTGTCAATCATTCACAAACACACTTCATACTGTTTTAAACACACACTCATTTACTTCCTAACTTCATTTAGCTGTAAACATATGAATGAATTCAAAACATTTGATAAGTCATTGATTCATAATGCTAAATTAGTCACATATGCGAGTGATTTACTCGCAATGTCGAGGGCTGATATCAGAAGTTTAAACTCATATGGTTTAAAACGCATGATTTCAGCACGATAAACATGATAATCAGAATCAGAACAGATGTTTTTAGCAGGTACGAGCTGTAATGGCGCAGCTCTATTCTGGAAAAGGGGGCGGGGAGCAGCAGCTCATTTGCATTTAAAGAGACATGCACGAAAAACAGCGTGTTTCTGCTTCCACTCAAAATAGGCATTTTCAACATGATATAATAAATTATCTGTGGAGTAGAAACTTCACAGACACATTCTGGGGACACCAGAGACTTATATTACATATTGTAAAAAGGGGCATAATATGTCTCCTTAAAAACAAATCATTCCACATTCTGTGACTCTGTGCTTGGCCTGAAGAAAATGGTCCTTTTGTGCACAGCGTTTCTCAGTTTTGGTGGTAAACAGAGAATCTGGTACTGAAACATGCCGGCGTGGCTTGCAATGAAGTCTTGGCACAATCTGTGGAAATACATCGCATTAGTCTGTTCTCCATCAGCTCGTAATTCCTGTTCCACAGTTCAGTGATTCTTCCCGCATCAGCGGCTGCGGCTGAGTCTGGAAAACAAGCGCATCGTTGCAGTGGCCCTGCAAAACAAATCCTCTTCACTGACCCAGGCTTACAGATTTCAGATGTTTGCTGAATTATCGGTACACCGTGGAGCACACGACACTCACTTTGTCCACTAAAAGGATATAATCATGACTTCCTCAAAACACTACAACATTTGAGTCTCTTCCTTGACACGCAGTGTGCCACAGACTAGAAAATCAGAGCGAAAGAGAGCTTGAGGAATGCAATCATAATATCTTATTCTTTCCATCTCCATTTCTGCATGTTTTCACCTACCGCGGTTTGTCCTTGTTTTGATGCTCCATCTCTGTCCATCCTTTTGTCTCCAGATTAAACATCCAGCCGTCACCTGAGGAGAAAGAAAAAGGTCTGTAGTTTAGTTTTTTAACTATGCAGTCATTTAGAGTTGTTTTCGTGTGCGTCATACTCATGGGTCTGAGTCCACCGAACAGAAAGAGACGTATCAGACACGGCTGTTAGCGTGTGCCATGAGCGTCCCACAGGTGCTAGACCCAACCCAACTCTACAAACACCAGACGAGGCAGAGCTTCATGAAGACGACACACATAACACTCAAGAGCGGATTATATAGATGAGTGAGGAGCTATGTGGCGTCTCTTACATTTCTGACCATGTCCATGAATTTAAATCCAGAAAAAACTCGTCACTTGTTCTAGTTTCCTGTGCAGAAAGCAAACAAACACAACATGACAACACTTCACTGTAGCTCAGTATGGGCTTTTAGACCGGCAGATATGTTAGAAGATTGATACGTTTTTTTGTACGACTGCCAGAGAAATGATTTTAAGGGAGCCAGCAGTCTCTATAAATGCATATGAACAATAACTCACCTTTATTCTTCCACCGCACACGTAGCCTTTGCTGCCGATGCTAGCGCTAGCGTGAGCGGCTCGCGGGGGAGGAGCTCGTCCCTGTCAATCATTCACAAACACACTTCATACTGTTTTAAACACACACTCATTTACTTCCTAACTTCATTTAGCTGTAAACATATGAATGAATTCAAAACATTTGATAAGTCATTGATTCATAATGCTAAATGATGTTTGAATGACTTACGAAGGTCTGCGGTTCGGTCCATCTGCTTCTTTCCGGATCAAACTCATGAACTTCATTGTTCCATCCCCAGAAGATGTCCTCGGCCTGAAGAGAGAGAAGCGACACTGATATGAATCTGTTTTGATTAGCTCTGCGTTGTGAGGAGTTTCGCAGTGAACACAAACTACCCATGATGCTTCATCCACAATGAAGCTCTTCGGATCGTGGATTGCACTCAGCGGTTTGTGGCCATATCCACCAAAGTAGATGATTCTGTCGGGAGATCGACACTCATATTACACAAGTATTACTAAATCAGTTCCCGCATATTCAACAGCATGTGCTGGAAGAATTCAGATGCAGAAATAATAACCTTCCTTCATGAACCCAGCAGGAGAGTTTATCTCACGGCGACGGCAGCGATCCGGACCGAAGCGTCACTCTCGTCCAGCTGAACCTCTCGTCCTGCAGGCTGACGGAGTAAAGCTGAAACAACAGACTCTCGTGTGGCTTTACTGATGCACCTGAACACAGTGAAGACTGAGTGCAGCTTTACTTAATTAGTCTGTCCATCATCACAGCAGCCGCCGAATATAAACAGCTCCTCGTTCACAATGCAGCCGCAGGTCCCACGCATCGCCGGAGGAACCGTCCCACACATGTCCCGCCGTTCCCTGTCAAACACAGAAGCAACAGCTGATGTCTTTCTGTTCGGAAATATGAAAAGGCATTAATAGATTCTAAGTCTTTTGTGCCTCCAGTTTAAAGAAACCAGTAACACATAGTCAACATGTGTGGACAAACACACACACTCACACACTCTCTCTCTCTCTCTCTCTCTCTCTCTCTCTCTCTCTCTCTCT